TACTTTAAAACAATATAAAAAAAATTTTTATGAATTGTGTAACAGATCTACAAATGATGTGACGGTTCCCCCTGTTCATGCCTAGGCATGCCCATGGGCATATTCAAAAATATTTATTTTTTTAAAAATTAAATATTTATTTTTTTAAAAATTAAAAATTTATAAATTATTTTATATTATAAATATACAAACTTAATAAATTGGTTCTTATAACTTGACTAGATCAAATTTTACAAAATTTTTAAAAAATTTAACTATATTTACTATTTAGATGAAGTTTTTTTAAAAGTTTATAAAAATTTTTATATGCTTTTTATATATAAAAACTTTTTGAAAATAAAATTAAAAACTGGGTTTTTAGATTATTTTTCAAAATTTATATTATAAGAATCAAAAATTAACTTTATATAGTCTTAAAAACCTTAAATGTATAAAAATAACTTTATTTATAAAAGCATTAATATATTTAAATCATATTTAATATAATAAAAACAAATATAAAATAGTTTATATATATATATTTATATGTAATAATATCTTCTACTGTCCAATCCTCATTTTTTGATAATTTTATAGAAGTAACTTCTTGTGATAATAAAATAGAAAAATCAAAAAGATCTTCTATTGTATTTGAATTTGTATCTCGAATTAAATCATTTAATTCATCATCAGTATCACTTTTTTCATTTCATTGCTATTATCTTGCTTACTAGTTTCACCAATTTTGTAATTATCATTTACTAAATCCGAATAATTTTCTTGATTATTTTGATTAGCTAATTTGGTTTTAATTTCAGTATGTAATTCTGTTCATATAATCCAACCATTTTAAGAGTACTTGGATTTATTTGATTATGATTTTTTGTTTTAATAAGTTCAAGTGAAGAAAATAATCTTTCAATAGCTGCACCATGTGGAATGATTGCAAAAATTTTAAGAGCAAATTGTTTTAAAATAGGCATTCCCATAACTAATTTCCAAAATGTTCATGGCTGTTGTGAATATAAATTATTTTGAAATATATTATAATTATAATATTCTGTAAGATCAGTGTATAATTGAATATCTTCTTCTTTTTTAAATTTTCAATCTTTTGCTAATTGAATTGCTTTTCTAATAATATAAAGAAATGTTTTTTTTGAAACAGCAATTTGTCTATATTGTGGAATAAGAAAATGAGCTACAAAGTATATTCCTGATTGATCATCAAAATATCGGGCTTGTTTGTTAATTGCATTAAAAGTATAATTTTGTAAACTTGTATCGATATTTTGTAAATTTATAATTGCATTTCTACAATTAATTAATTGAACAAAAATATCAGCTAATATTGAAGTATGTGCTTTCAAAGCTCCAATTGCATTTACAATTGGTAATAAAACTTGTTGAAGTTCATAATTATAAGCAAAATGAAATTTATCATTAATAATAATTTGAATATTATTAGGTATAGTTGGAGAATCAGAGCGAATACTTTCAATAACACAGTGTTTGAATCCATCTTCATATGCAGAAATTCCAAGACACATTTTTGCTAATGAATATCAGCGAGTTTCACAAAATGATGTCAAACTATGTTGTATATTTGAATTTGTTTGCTATTCACGAAGCTTAGCAATCCAAAAAATGTGAATTTATAAAAAAATTTATTAATTTTAAATTTTGTTTAATTATAGATTTGCTTTATCATGTTTCACAATATCCTTTGCAATAATATTAAATGCATAGAGGCAGCATCGTATAGGAATAATATTTGAATATTTGCTTTTTAAATCATTTCGAACTTTAATCATAGTTGAAGGATTATCGGTAACTAAAGCTATAATTGAATTAAAGTTTAATATTGATCTTTTTATAGCTTCTTCTAATACTACTTGTAAATTATTTGCTGTATGTCGTTCCTTTGATAAATCTAAAATATCTAAACCATATTCTTCTTCATTTTTTAGTGCCATAAAACTGTAAATGGAATTTTTAGACACATCTTCTCATCCATCTATGCAAAAAGTAATATTTATAGAATTATTTAGCTTATCATATAATCTTGTTAAATAATCTGTATAATGACTAACAAGAATAGACTTAACAAGTATATTTCATGAAAGAAGCTTATAAGAAGGCCGCAATTCTTCTAAAAATTTTTTTGAAAAAGGATTTTTGACAAACTGAAATAAAATATTGCTATAAATTATAGCATCTAATAAAAGATAATATAGTTTATGCAATTGTTCATTTGTAAGCAGTTTTTCAAAGTGAGATAAAATTGAAGATTGTTGTTTTATTGTAGATTGAGATTGTGTTATTTGATTATCATCACTTCGTTGCCTTTTATTATTAGAAGTTTGTATATGCTCTAAATATGTTTTATTAATATCTTTCATTCGTTCTTCTGGAGAAATAAATATGCACATATTTACTATATGATTATATATTCTCTCAGATTTATCAGGCATTTTATTTGAACAGTATATACATTTTGCATAGTAACGACCTGCACTATCTTTATCTGTTGATTGTTCAAAACTATGCCATCTTTTTCCGAATGATGATCCAGGTGTATGCCAATGCCGATTATTATTATTATTTTCAGATTCTTCAGGTATTTGTGACAATTCAGAAAACATTGTATAATTAAACCATTAATTTAACATTTTGCATTAATGAAATTAATTTAAACAGAAGCATTGATAAAGGAATAATTAAAGTTTCGTATAAAAAAAAAAAATTTTAAATGTCAAAAATTTAAAATATCATTTAAATAACTCAAAAAAATTCACATCAGAATTACATCATAAATGTACTTCTTTTTTAATATTAATGATTTATATTTTAACAACGTTAAATAAAATTATTGATTTATCGAATTAAGAATTCAGAATTCAGAATTCAGAATTTACTAATTACTTTCATTGATTAAACAAGATACGTTCTTGGACTGATAACTTAATTGAATCTTGATAAACATATTATTTAATATATGATATCATAAATATGTATAATTATAATAATGATATTGTTAAGCTAATTTTAAATTTGCAATCCACTTAGATAAATTTCTTAACTTATGCGAAATCATACGTAATCTTAAAAGCATCTCTAAAAACAAAACCAAAGATAATCTTTGCTATTTAGAGAACTAATAGAGCTTTATTCTATAACTAAGGTTTGTTTATTATAGTTTATATACTAATTACATAATTATATATAAAATTCAACTATGTATACTAAATTTTACAAACTTAGCTGACTGTATAAATGTAACAAATAAGTGTAAATTGCTATGTCGTTATGTAAAACATAATCTTCAAAAAATAACAAAATATACTTGTGAAAATTTTGATCGCATTAAGGATTTCAACTTAGTGAGAATGTAATTGAGTAGACTTTTTTTTAATTGACGATATAACTATAGAACTGGGAGAGAAATATAAGCACAAAGATTTATCTTCTATAGTTACAGGTAAGATTCAACGAATATGATTCATGAAATACTATCATATAACAATTAAAATACTATTTATAGTAGATCCAACCAAACGAAGAACTCACCCACATGATTTTATACATCAGGTGCGACCTGCCTCAGTAGCTCTTG